TTTAGTTAATTTTAGGTTTTTATTATATAAGCTAATTAATTAAATTAAGTAAGAAATTTTGCTATCCCCTCCTTATAGCATTATTATAACATGATTAAGCTAAGCCTAGCGTGCTTACGTTTAAAGGAATCCTTAAGCATAAGGCAAACCTTTTTTAAGAAGCTCTTTAATTACTTCTTAAATATTATTATAAAATTAACATAAGATAAAAATTAAATATAAAAAGTTTTTAGCTAATCAAATATATAAAAGAATTAAGCCCCTTTAATATTAATTACCTTTCCATTTATTATAAACTTAACCTTTATCTTTACCAGCTAAGTTACTAAATATTTTTAAAATAAAAGTTTCTTAAGATAAAAAAGGACTTAGCAAGCTATTATTATTCTTTTTAAGTTTTATTATATTAAGTTTTATATAATTACATTATAAGTTTATAATATATAAAAACCTTAAATATATATTATAAGCTAACCTTAAGTTATTTATTAAAAGGTGCTTTAAATAAGGTTTATATTTAAGATGCAAAGGAAAAGGTTTGCTTTTTATTTATATTTATGCTAAAGCCTATTTTTATAAGGCTAAAGCCCATTAATTAATCATAATAAGCAAAGCTTAAACCATAATAATAAATAAAGATAATAATAGCTTTATTAAGCTTAAAGTTAATAATTCTTATATAAAAAACATTATATATTATATAGCGGAAGATATTTAACCATTAATTAAAATTATAAGAAAGCTTAAATGGTTTTAATTAAAAAGCAAGCCCGTCCTAAGGATCCCTTAAGCTTTAATGCCTTAATACCAACTTATATATTAGCTTCCTAAGGTTGCCTTACCATTTTTATCGCTCTCTTTTTAAGCTATTACCAGCTTATTTTTAGCAATATTTAGCTCTTATCTTATTATCTTTAAATAACATTAATTTATCCCTTTATTATTATTATAAGCTAGCTTAAAGTTATTTATAAAAGGTGCTTAAATAAGGTTTATATATAAGATATAAAGGAAAAGGTTTGCTCCTTATTTATATTTATATTAAAGCTTATTTTTATAAGGTTAAAGCCTGCTAATTAATTATAATAAGCAAAACTTAAATTATAATATATCTTTCTTTTCTAGGTTTTAATAATAAGCTTAAAAGAATAATTATTTAATAAAAAAATAAAGAATATTATAATTTAATTATAAATTAAATATTACTCTTTACCCAGCCATTTAATTATATTTTAACGCTTTTTAAATATAGTAAAAGCCTAGCTTATTTTATAATTAATATGCCTTTAACCCTTATAATTTAATATATTAAATAAAAAAAATAATTATTTAAGTATAAGCTAGCTATTAAGTTAATAATATTTTTATAATCCTTTAATATAAATTATTTATATATGCTTCCTTATTTAAAGCTTTAAAATCGCGGAATTATTATATACCTTATAATTAATTAACATTTAATATATTAATAATTTACTTTTTTAATAAAGTTTCCCCTTAAAGCTAAGTATATCCTATAACGCTATATTAATTAATATATAGTTAATACGCTTTAAGCTTAAGCCAGCATTAAGCTAGCTATACTTTAAGCCTTACCTTATAAGAAAATTATTTATATTTCTTTAAATAAACTTTTCCCCCTTATTAACCTTAATTAATAAAAGCTATATCTTTATTTTTTTATAATAATTAAAGTAATTATATTTATAATAATTAAGTTAATTATATATAAAATATTTAACTTTGCTTATTAAAATTATTATAATATTAATATTTATTACTTTATTATTTTAAAATTAAACATTATCTTCCTTTATTATAATATTAAAAATACCTTTATATTATTATAAAGTAAAATAAAAAGTTATAAATATTAAATTATTAATTATTAAAAGTATTTTATATTTATTTAATTAACTTTAAAGTTTTATTATATAAGTTAATTAATTAAATTAAATAAAACATTTTATTATTTTCTTTTTATAATATTATTATAATATAATTAAGTTAAGCTTAGCATATTTTTATTTAAAAAGTATTTAAATATAAAGTAAACTTTTTTTAAAAAGCTTTTTAATTATATTTTAAATATTAATTACTTCTTTATTTATTATATATTTAACTCTTAGTTTTATTAATTAAGTTGCTATATATTCTTAAGATAAAAGTTTCTTAAAATAAGAAAGAGCTTAGCAAGCTATTATTATTCTTTTTAAGTTTTATTATATTAAGTTTTATATAATTATATTATAAATTTATAATATAAAAGGATCTTATATATATTATATAAGCTAACTTAAGGTTATTTATAAAAGGTATTTAAATAAGGTTTATATTTAAAGTATAAAGAAAGAAGTTTGCTCTTTATTTATACTTATATTAAAGCTTATTTTTATAAGGCTAAAGCTTATTAATTAATTATAATAAGTAAAGCTTAAACCATAATAATTATAAATAATTAATATTTAACCCTTACTTTATATAAATAAATTAAAAGCTTTTAATTATTTATTTAAGGTAATGTTAAAATAACTTATTATTATTAATTACCCTTTAATAATATATAAACAAATTAAGGTAGAAAAATAAAGTAATTAATTATAAAATGAAATAATTAAGTTATAAAAAACAATTTATAAATAAAAATTACTCTTATATTATTATTTAATAAGTTACTTTACTTTATTATTAATTATAATTATAATAATATTTAGCTATTAACGTAAGTACCCGCATATATAATATTATTAAGTAAATAACTTTTTATAAAACTTTATAGCTTATACCTTAACCCTTATTATATAAATAATATTAAAATAACTTATTTATTATTAATTATTATTATTTATTAAATAATAAAATAAACTTAAGGCTATTTATTACTTTACTTTAATTATAGCTTAATTATTAACCTTTATTACCTAGAAAAGCGCATTATATATCTTTATATAATAAGGTAATTATTCTTTTCGTGCTAAGTAATAGCAAAGGACCGCCAAGGCCGCCCGCCCCTCATATGCATGCCTGTTATTGCTGCCTTATGTAGGATTAATGCTGGCATGGCAATGCATGAGATGGCTTAACGCCGCTCTTTTATATTTGCCCTGCTTATACGGCACATATTTACCCATCGTGCATGCTGGTAACCACTGGCCTTTCCTCCCATGCAGCTTGTTCACCGGCATATAAGCACATGCACTCCTTTAGCCGGCTATAACATTAAGTTTAGTCCAGTTAAGGGCAACTAAGAGTACCCGTTAATTATATAATATAAGCTCCCTGAAATTACCTTGTGTTATGATTGCATTGTTGGTATCTTGGCGTTATTGCATAAACGAGATGTGTTAATATAAGCTATGGGCAGGCTGCCTTTCATTAAGTATTCCACGGCCCTTTCATTTAGCCCAGTCCATTTACTTTCCAGCATAGGGCGATCACTGCATAAATCTATATACGCAGTGCCCGTTTTTCTTTTGCTTAATATAATCCCCAATTAACAACAATAAATTAAACTTATAAGTTTTTAACATAATAACGCTTAAGCAATATAAGTATAATAATTTAATAACCACTTTATATTACTTATAAAAACCCTCTTTTTTATCTTCTTTATATAAGATTTAAATATATGCTGGTAAATAAGGTAAACATTTTTGCTATTTAATTAATAAGGATATAAAGCAATAATTTACTTAAAATATTTATTTATTTTTTTAATCTTCTTTTGCTATAGCTAAGGGTTGCAACTTATATTAACATTAAAATTTTTAAGTAATAATAAGGTAAGATAAAGGCGTGAAATTTTATATAACATGTTTATATAAATATTATAATTAATTAATTATTATTGCGTCGAAAAGCAAGGCATATATAAGCAGGCATTTTTTTCTCCTTATATATATATAATGCATACCTTGCGCAAGATTAAGCCTTATAAAGCGGCAGTAATATTAATAAATACCGCTGTAATTAAAGCTTAAACTTGCGTTAATTTTACTTAAGCGCAAATTAACTTATTTATTGCAAGGGTTTAATTAAGTATAATTTTATTAACTTCTTATTTAACTTTATTATTAAGATATGTTAATGTTAATTACTTTTATAAAATGCTTATTATTTATTTTTATTCCTTAAGATAAATATATATTTATTATAAATAATTAGCTATAATTCTTAAAACATTTTTTATTTTATAATTATTATTATTATTACGCCCTTTACCTTTATATAACTTTTAAATATCTTAATTAATATTTAAAATTATTAATTATTATTTAATACTTATTATATATACTTTAATAAGCCGCCCTTATTTATTATATATTTATAAATTAACTAATAAATATATATAAATATATATATGTTATAAAGATAAAGTTCATTATAATGCCAATATTAATAAACCACCCCCTTAATTAAGACTATAAAAAGGGCAGTGATCGCGCTATAATTTAGCGGCAATTCTTTCCCTATGCGTTTGGCTTGCCTCGCGGCAAGGTTAGGGTAGCTGGGGCCTTGGAGCACGCTAATAAGATAAATATTGAGAGCCTGGACATGTGATGTGTAGATGGGGCGCAACACGGGGGTCCACAGATGCGCACGCAAAGCGATGATGGGGCGATGAGACAACATGTCACTCAGGGTGGTTGACGGGTGGCAAGCATTGGGCCTGCTCACTGCCCAGGAGCGAGGGTGGCATGGAATGTAACAATAATGAGATCTCAATGTAGGGGCTGCGAGGCCGAATAGTTCTTGAATTAATTGAATTAATGAATTCATCATTACACCGTTCTCCATTGCCAGAGAAAACTAGACAAGAAAAAGCCCGCTCACGAACGAGTGTTGAACAGCAGTGGGCAGAACTGTGAGCCAAAAAGAAAGAACTAATCATCCAACCTCTTTCCTTTGCTCACGGGGCGTGCGGGCGACCAGACATCCGGGTCAAACCGAGGGTCACCAGCAACGTAGGCCATCGGGAAGGGGTAGTTGGATGCGCGGGACTAGTGCGGTGCCCCCGAGAGTATTGGATCGATCGACCCGGGCTGGAGGCCGGGACGGCGCTGAGACGCGGGTGGATCTGCAGGTGCCGGATCCACGGACCCAGGCATGCCGGAGAAGTCGAACGGCGCCGTGTTGTAAATGTCCACGGCCGTCGGTCCACCTGTGGACCCATATCCCATCGGAGATAAGGCCTCGTAGGCGTTGGACAACTCTTTATCCCCGTTGGCGTCGTTGGGTGTCCAAGACAAGGCGCACGACGTCGGGTCCGGGTACGCCAGGGCGTTGGAAGAGCCTGTGTTGCTCTGGATTATATTGGGACCGCTTGGTGCGCCGAAGGATGAGGACGGCAGGGAGGGAATGAGATTAAAGGCGCCGAGTATTTCTCCAGATTGTTGCTGCTGAGGCCTGTAGTTATCATCCCTGACCAGGGGAGACGTGAAGTGGCCCCTCGGTGGCGGTTGCATGGATAGTTGGTTGTAACCTCTATTCAGCGACGGCTGATTGGGCTGACCTGCAACCCCGAACGGGTTGTTCATGTTCAGGGCCGGTGTCAGGACGGCGGCCGCGGAGGGCTGCGTGTACCTGCCCTGGATCGAGTTGGTAGCCTGGATCTGGCGGAAAGATAGGGAATGGTCTTTCGGCGTCCTAAAGAAGTTTACCTAAGGGTTGTTGGTATTGGGCTTTATGGGGTTATTAGGGTTATCCAATTCCAAATGAATTAATGCTTATATATTGGTTGTGTTAAGTTATTTTACAGGGATAAGCTAACAGGGTCCCGGTATGTTGTTGGTTATTGTTTAATAGGTTTGGCATGGAACTTACTTATAATATTTCTTGAAAAATAACAGCCGCAGCTATCTTTTCATAGCAAAGCCGCGGCGATATTTGTTAAACAGCAGAGCTTTAATATAAATAAGAATGCAGATATTTGCACCGATGAAAACAACTGCTATACCAAGCGCAAACCACTTATATAAACCACCCTTAATTATATAATTTTTCCTAACGTTATTATATTACTTTTTATAAGTATAATTATTAAGGCTTTATATAATTTATATTTTTTTAATATAATTTTATTTATATTTATATTTTTAAATATAAATTTAAGAATTAAGAATTAATATATAAAAATATAAAAAATATTAATTAATTATTAAAAATTTTAATAATAATAATAATAATATAATAATAATAATAATCTATAATAATAATAATAATAATAATAATAATAATAATAATAATATATAAATTATATAAATTATATAAATTATATAAATAAATAAATAAAATAAATAAAATAAATAAAATAAATAAAATAAATAAAATAAATAAAATAAATAAAAAATAAATAAAATAAATAAAAAAAAATAAATAAATAAAATAAATAAAATAAATAAAATAAATAAATAAATAAAATAAAAATAAATAAAATAAATAAAATAAAAAAAAAATAAAATAAATAAAATAAATAAAATAAATAAAATAAATAAAATAAATAAAAAAATAAAAAATAAATAAAATAAATAAAATAAATAAAATAAATAAAATAAATAAAATAAATAAAATAAATAAAATAAATAAAAAAAATAAAATAAATAAAATAAATAAAATAAAAAAATAAATAAAATAAATAAATAAAATAAAATAAATAAATAAATAAAATAAATAAAATAAATAAAATAAATAAAAAATAAATAAAATAAAATAATAAAATAAATAAAATAAATAAAATAAATAAATAAATAAAATAAATAAAATAAATAAAATAAATAAAATAAATAAAATAAATAAAATAAATAAAATAAATAAAAAAATAAAATAAATAAATAAATAAAATAAATAAAATAAATAAAATAAATAAAATAAATAAAATAAATAAAATAAATAAAATAAATAAAATAAATATTATATAATTAATTATAATTAAATATAATTAAATAATTTACAATTTTTTATAATGAAAATAATAATGAGTTTATTGTTAAGAATAATTTAATATTGTTTTATATTAATTTAATAACAGGGCGTTAATCGTATGTTGAAACTGGAATTGGTTTATGCTTGGTGCAGCAGCCGTTTTAACCGGCGCGAATATTTGCATTTATAAATAAAGCAGACAGATATGCGTGCAACAGAGTCATTTAACTTGGCTAGTAGGACTTCATTAAATCGCACAAGATGCAAAGAGCATATTACCTGAGCAGCAAGCAAATGACCAAGTCACTGAACTACCCCGCCTAGATTACTTCCCTACGGATGTTGTTTATCGAATTCACGTAAAGCTATTCAACAGATCCTGTCCAGCCCGAGCTTTTCTCCACGTCACGCCGCTCATTATGTGGCTTTTGAGGATCGAGGATATGGCCGGCTTTGCTCCAACATGAAGCTAGAACACCATGAGACTTATATGTAATGCTGGTAGGACTAGCCTATCCATAGTTCTGGTGCGTAAGTAAGCCTCGGTGCGTTGCTGGGCACAATTGACCGCTACAGTAACATAGATAGGGAAACCAAAATAGAAGTTGATATGTAATTTGAGCATTAATTTTCCATGACTGAGTCCTGACAGAACGAAATACAAATATGGACAAATTGCTCAAAAGGCTCTTGGCCAACTTACTGAACTCGTCTGGCTCCGTAGAGGCCGTTCATGGTAAAGACTTGTGTCTCTTTTATTGCAGTCCATGGGAATATTTAAAAAAAAGGCAGAGCAGTTTAGTAGATGTCAATTCTCCCTGCTGGCCAGCCTGTTCAGGACATTTAGGCCCCAATTGATCAAGCCACCTGTCAATTGAGTTTTTTTTAGAGCCACTGGTCCCCTTCCACAACAACAACAACCCGCCACTCCTACTGCGTACTCCCAGCCTACGGCATTTACGTCTCTTCTCGAAGACCTACGGCAGCTGCTGATCGTGCTCACTCGACCTCTTCTAGAGACCATGGCCGTACTGCCGCGAAAGACAGCGCAAGAGTCGAAACAAGTTTGTGTTTCTACTACCAGAAACGTTGAGTTGAACACTAAAGTGAATGGAGGTAACCAACGCAACTCTGTCATAAAACGAGGATTCCCTCTGCAATGCAACATTGTAAAGGAACTGATTTCCGGCAGCAGACTCCATACAAAGGTGTAAAACGGAACTTCACCAGCCCATCACATCCTTCCATACTCCATACCGCTCCTGCCTGTCGCAGTGACTTTTTCAACATTCTCAGGCTCGTATTGACGGACTTGGAGACAGTTTTGGTGCCGGGTGAGTATAGACACGGTCTGGTTTTACGGGTGGCACCAAGTCTCGAAGTTCAGTGAAGTGGTCTGAATTGTCTCCGAGTCTTTCGCGGCTTGGTTTCCGGGATGCGCTTCTAGATTCAACGAAACCCGTGATTCGGCTTCGAATAGACGAGGTAGTCAATTGCAAGTACACCTTTGTCTTCAAGAAGAACGATGGCAGGCTAGTCGCACATGAAACCATAATAGCGGTGTTCATTTCAATCACGCTGAATGCAATTGAAATTAGCACTATAAAAGGACTGAGTCCAAAGATCGAGAAATGTATTCGGTACTTACCTGACCTGAGAGTCAACAGCATGGTCCCACAGAACGTCTGTGCTATGATATCGAATGGCGAACTGTGCAAGACGTGCCAGGCTTGCCGCACATGAACTTCGCTCGTCAGATTATCATTTTCATTTCAAAGAGGAGAATCACATACGCCAAACCAACTGCAAAGACAACGATTAGACCGATCTTGCGTGCCTTTGGAAGCTGTAATTTGATGATAAGGGGCATTGGCAAAATGAGGATCCAGAAATCTGTAATAACATTAAAGGCTGAGTTGAGTGCTTGGACTAGCCCGCCGGCGTTTTTACAGAATTGAGTCGTTGCCGCCTTTAAGCCAACGCATCTGACAAGGGAAGGTATCGAGACTGCTAGCATAGCAGTATAAAACAGGGCCATAATGAGCATTCCAATGTGAATGCTCATCCTCAGAGGCCTACTGATGCTGAATATTTGGAGGTAGAGGAGGAGGATTGAGGCTTTGGTGAAAAAGACGGTCACTGGGAAGATAATGCCGGTTGCGGACATAAGCTGATAAATATTAGTACCAGAAGTTGGATGGGAAAAGTGAATACTTACCCGAATGTTCTTGTTATTGATAAGCCACGCCACAGGGATATCCCACATGTGCCGCCCAAAGCCAATTTGGGTAGCTATACAGTGAATGAGTTATATGAATTACAGTCTGCAATAACAGAAAGACACTCACATTGGAAAACCATTACCATATGCGCTACTGATCCAAGCTGTGGTCTTCAATGAGATTCATTAAACCCTTCCGCGCAGACGGAAGTAAACCTTACCGCAGCAATAACACAAGCATCTAAAGGCCTCAGTGTCAGAATACGGGTTTCAAAGGATAGGTATAAAGAGACACCAACAGTCACTCCATCCCCAGATTTTAGTCCATTTCAAGCGTACAAAGACACGAATGCAGACCGTGAGGAGCATTATGGAAACAAAAACAACTTCTGTCGTTCGGAGCTCTTGGCTTCTGGACGGAGGGTTAATCAAGTTGGATGTCTCTCCCTCGGGGGCCGGCTGGGCAGGAATATGGTACAATGGATTGTTAGAATTGCCTGAAGACATGTTGCTAATCAAATGGAAAGCCTTGAAATCGAAACGAAGCGGCGCTGTTGTGAGTCAAGTGTGACAGCTAAAAGAAATGGAGGCAGTAGATCCACACAAGAATCAGGCTGAGAGCATGGGATCTATCAAATTTGTCAAGTCAGCAAACAAAAGATGCCCTCTTATACGTCTCTTCGAGAACCACATGGTGGGCCCACGATGATCAATGCTTCAACTCTGATGGCACCAATATGCAGGCTGAGATCTCAGCTTGACTGCCAAAATGGTTACAATAGCGACCGACAGCCGATAGCGTTGGGGGTGGCCAGGAGGAGGCCCCGCACCCCCGAAGTGTTCCGCGAGAAGGCAAATTTAAGACATCTAGAAGCAGGCTGGCTGGGGTAACACATATTGGGGGCTAGGGGCGAGGGGTCGGGCGATTTCTGTTGTGCACCCCAAGAGCGTTGCAAAAACTCATCATGCGTCGTGTTCTTTGTTATTGCGTTTTGTGTGACGCTGTCCGAGGTACTGTACTTCGGTACTTTGGAATATAAAGACGACCAACATTAGTCACCAGGCTTATCTGTCGGGTACATGCATGACGTCCCACCCTACTAGGGAGTCTGACCGAGCCTTTTTGGCCGTGCCACACACCAGACACGGAAGAGCCTTGTCTCTAGATTGGCCGTTGGGAGCTTCTACATGTCTTAGTCTGGTCTGTGCAACGCATACAACAACCCCATTCCGTGCGACCGGTCAGATTTACCCCCAGCTGCCTGGAACAGCCGACAGGGCTTGCTTCTCGCCTTTCTTTTTCCCCAACTCTCTTGGAAACTTCTCAACTCGTCTTTCATTCCAGGGAGTCTACCATCCTTATATTTCAGACTTGCTCAATGATCAGTTGAGTTCGCTGCCACTCATTCAACATTCCCGACGCTCTCGTTACCAACGAATTCTTCTCACCAATTCAGCACACAATAATCATGGCAGCCAGCCGCACTTCGAAAACACTGAGCCCTATCATCATCACCGGCGGATGTGGCTTCGTCGGCTCTCACTTGGTAGAGGCCCTCCTGAAAGAAGATGCCAGTTACGAGATACACGTTATCGACATACACACTGAGCGCAACCGATTTCCAGGCGTTACATATCACAGCTGTGATATTGCGTCTCCCAATGAGGTTGATGCAGTCTTCTCTGAGGCCAAACCGAGAACTGTATTCCATACCGCCTGTCCAGACTTCTTGGTCCTGAATCCCTCCAGGTTTCAAAGTGTTAACGTTGGTGGCACTCAGAACCTACTCGTCTCGGCGAAAAAGATCAATACTGTTCAAGCGTTCATCTACACTTCTTCATCATCAGTCATCCACGACAATATCAGCAACCTCATTGATGCTGACGACACTCTTCCGGTCCTTCAATACCCGGCACAGAAGCGTGTCTACACGTTGACCAAAGCTAGGGCTGAAGCTGAAGTCCTCGCAGCCAACCGAGAGAATGACTCGTCAATGCTGACAGCATCTATCCGCCCTGTTACAGCCTTTGGGGAGCGAGACTTCGGCTGCATGGGAAAGATCGTGGCGCAGTGTAGGGCTGGACGAGGAAACGTGCAGATTGGCTCCGGAGACAACCTATATGATTTCACCTACATCACGAACCTAGCAGATGCCCATATTCTAGCCGCTCACGCTCTTGTCGAAGCACACGGAAAGGCTCCTCTACCCCCGGAGATGCGTGTGGATGGGGAGACATTCATCATTACCAACGACGAGCCAATGTTGTTCTGGGAGTTTCAACGAGCAGTTGCTGCATCGGTCGATCTACCTATCCGGCGAGAACAAATCCGAGTCATTCCTCGCTGGCTGGCTATGCTGGTGGCAACCTTAACTGAATGGGCAACCTGGATAGGGTCTTTCGGGACAAAACAAGCCTCGATTACCCGGGAAGCCATCCACTTGACTACTATCACGCGGACATTGAAGTGTGACAAAGCCAAACGGATTCTCGGTTATAACCCGAGGATCAGCATAGATGAAGGTCTGCAGAGGGCCGGGAAATGGTTTATTGATGAGGCGAGAAAGACGCAGGACGCGAAGAAGAGGACCTGACTCTAGGGGATCGATTCATCAGAACAGAATGTTTTAGCATAACCATGCTGAGGTCGTGAGATGGATCTCTAGCCCATAATTTGTTTCGATGACGGGTGGCTTCAATTCCTATGCTTATTTGAAAGGGTTCATTTCTTGTTCCACTGTGTCAAATACATGCCGATTACGCAAAATACTCCTGCCGTTGTGACTTCCGTGCACAAGATGCGCAAGACCATACCATCACACGCCACCTTGTCCCCATCACGCGCTGGTTCACATCCAAATCCAGAAGCACCGAGTGGACTTTCCTAGTTGTTTTACTGGGAAAGTTCTGGCCTGTATAAAAACTTCGCAACTGGAGGCAACTAACTGTAGGCCAATCTCGTTCTCTATACGATACTTGGCATATTGAATTTCTAAAAAGTCAGCTGTCTTGAACCTTCTTCAGAGCAGCCTCGTTCTCACTCCACGTGTATTTCGAGCTCCGGCGCTACAAGCTGTTTAGCAGAATGTTGAGATAGCACTTATAGGCCTGCTGGTTGAATTGCCATCTCCGAACAAGTGGCTCTGAGGATGACTCTATTCATAAATCTAGGGAGAGGCGCTGGTCAATGCTCAAGTGAATATCGTTCTCTGAGAGCAAATCTCAAGTGCTCTGTCAGGACAACCTCTAGGGGCCCAAATGAACTATACTTAGCAATGAACCCGCTGTGTTTTCTTTGAGGAGGAGTTCATACCTCCGAGTCTGCCCTTGGAAGTGGTCTGAGAATCTGAGCTCCGTCACTGGATGGGGGCCCTCGGGCTTCCACAAGCACCTGGTCTCTAGGTCTGGACATTGATGCCCAACCACGAATCAGCCCGACTACCTGCTGAGCCTTTGAGTCACTTGCGCATAATTGAAACACATTCGCAGATGCCCTATTTTATCCGAGATGTGCGTCCGTGGGGGCTCTTCCAAAATGCAATGCCACCACCCATCACATGTGCATCGGGTGTGGAGGGAGAGGTGTGTCAGCGTGATTTAGGCAGCTGAGTCACACACCAGTAATGGACCCCACGATATTCATGCTGTACCATGCACTGCCTCGCAAATCAGGCAGTGGCCACGCAGCATAGAGCCTTGCTACAAGCCTCAAAAATGGGTTGCCTTTTCACCCAGCACACACTTGCTGTGCCTCGTGAACATTGTGTGCCCGCAACACTTCTAAGAATAAACTCATACATCTTTGGGAAACCAGGTATTCAGCCACTGAAATGGGCTCGATGGGTATTAAGGTATAAGATCTAAGGGTGTATTGACGAAATTCTCCATGAATGCTCACACAAAATGACACCAGATTTGTGATTATTCACTTCGCCTTGAAACCCAGTCTCTGAAAAAAAGGCTCTTGCTTAAGTGCTCATATCATCATGTTGATCCTCTGGGTCTTCTCTGTCCATGGCTTTATAGCCTACTTGTGCTTTGTCTGGGTGGTCCATCAACTCTACGTCCGGCGTTGGAAGTCGAAGGTTCTTTCCCTGCTAGCCTCTTCACAAAGTTGATCCTGACCATGCATAGCAGCAAAGAAATGGCGTTGCTCAGGCAAGATATCGCAGTTGGTTTGGAAAATGGTTTCCTGGTCTTACATATATGTGGTCTGGGCCTGATATAATTCTTCAAAATTATGTATGGAAAGATACTTCCTTCAGCTTGGCCCAGAGAGCATGTCTAATTTTCAACAGATTCCAGGCGTTCCGTTCATCCTGCAGACTCCAGAAGCTGTCTATGTGAACGTTTCGTCAGATCAACACATGAGTGAGCTGAGAACGTCGTCAAAGGAACAGATGTCACTCCATGCATTGGCAAACGATGTAAGTTATTACTCTCCATTGGGTGGCCAATTCATATGTTGATAGCTCACATTTTTAGATGTTCATGCCAGATCACACCATGGGTGGTTTGAAGGTTGACGACAATGGGAATGCGAATGGCACTTTGCATCACCGAGTACTTCGTGTGGTCCTCACTTCTTGCATTCCCCATCTCTACAAACCAGTCTCACGAATGATCTCAACTGCTTTTCAAGAAGAGCTGTCCAATGGTGCCAAAGTAAAGGGTGGTTGGACCAGAGTCTCGAGTTGGTCTGTGGCTAAGACAGTTATAACAGCCGCTAACGCTAGAACCTATTTCGGCGCGGACCTTGCCAACAACCCTACGTTCCATGGCGCCCTCCGGTCTTTTATAGAAGATCTTCTCTTCACGGCAGAGATACTGCGCTGGTCGCCAACATTCTTACGTCCCTTTGTCGGACCACTACTAATGCGAAATCACCGGGCGTCCCAGGCAATTATAAAGCATCTCACCCCGGTAGTCGAAGAGCGACTTAGTCAGGCGAGAAATTTGTTAGATGACAAGCCTCGTGCATCACGGCCAGTGGACTGTATCCAATTTTTTGTCGATGCCAACAGCCGCAAACGCCAATGGACAGCCAAGAGGATCGTTCAGGTACTGCTCGGTGTGTGGTTTGCATCAGTGCATCAGCCCGCTCTCACCCTCGTGTACGCCCTGGAGAACCTATGTGAGCACCCAGAATACATTGAGCCCTTAAGAAAAGAGCTATCCTCATCTATGGATGCGTCTGGCGGCACTGAGATCGGAAAGAAGAACCCCGCTGCTTCGCTCGAGGATATCGCTCTTCTCGATGCCTTTATGAAGGAGTCTTCGCGTTTACGCCCGTCAGATGCTATCTCCGTGCGCAGAAAAGTCATGTCAACTTTCAATTTCAAAGACGGCACGCAGATTCTTCCAGGAGACGTGGCCTGTGTGCCCATGAATGCAATTCTAAGGGATGAAGCTCACTATCTGAACGCCGAAGACTTCTCTCCATGGAGATTCTTGGATGAGAATGGACAACTACGGAATTCTAGCAGATTTACAGACGTGGTATTTTCCTACCCGCTTTGGGGTTTGGGGGGCCATGTTTGGTAAGTACTGTCCAAACTCGACTTACTTTGGCTCGCTTGCTGATTTGGAGAGCAGTCCGGGAAGATTCTACGCGTCTTTTGTTATGAAACTCGCTATTGCACATATTCTCCAAAATTATGATATGCAATTGGGTCCAGATACCGGCCCACGAAGATTTTACTTCCGGACTTCTACCATTCCACGCCGGACATCATATCTTCTTTTCCGGAAGATTGGGCAAGATAGTATGAACACTGGGGTAGGCATGACCTAAGATAGCCTGAGATGTGCGTCATGTAATCTAAATATTTGTTTCTGGGGGGTTCATAAATCGATCAAGGTTTCTTTGAGTACAAATTATATTATTTCTTCAGATACCCAGGTAGTTTCCTGCTTTCGCCTTCTCATGTCACCGATTCAAGAAGACGACGACTAAATCCTCTGTCCATGCCGAGGACTATGACCAGTCCAAGTACTCGGTCGCTCCGCCAAGAAATTTCAGAACATCTGTACTTTTGCACCTTCAGCACTTCCTCATCAAGAATACCATCAGCTCTCTTTTGAAGCCCACCATCGAAAGATTCTCTGTCGACCCCAGGTAGGGGTATCGGCTAAAGATTGCTGACGTTACTTGTGGCAACGGAATATGGCTGATTAGACTATATATCACACATCTCGGCCAGTATGGTTTCACAAACGCGTGCCTGCGCCGGTATGAGAAGAGAAGCCAGGGTTACAGAGGCTGGACTGATGATTACCCGGTGGTCTGGGATAAGCTTGACCCGACAAGAGCACAGGACCTAAATGCACACCTAACACGCGAGGCATGGCTTGGCCTCTTTGCAGCGGCAGTCAATGAGACGGAGAAAGGCTTTGTGATCCACTAAGGAGGATACATAACTGCTGTTGGCCGAAAGCCTCTATGAGGGAGGGCTTTTTCTCTGGGGGGAGTGTTCTCTATCGACGACTTTCCACAAGACGTTCATTCCTTGAGAATGTAGACACACGCAATTGGCTCCTCCAAGTCCACACAGGGTCAATAGACGTCAGCTCATTCCATTGTAACACCCGGATTGATATCAGGAACTGTCAACACCCAAAGACCATGACTTCAGAGTGCTGGCAGGTCGGGGTCTGTTGGACGAGTATTGATCAAGGGCTAGCATTGTTATTCGGATGATTTGCCCCGCCTACCAATGATACTTGCAGGTAAATTCACACGGTCAGTGCCAACCCACGCATGTCTTAGGGGGCTGTGAGGGCATGTGCAACTGGAGTGAAAGGTGCCCAGACTCAGGTTACGCGTTCTGTGAAACCTGACAAATCCAAGGTACCAATACATAGCTGTGGGACTTTGGAGATGGAGAATGTCACACAACATGGGCCCATCACAAGCTTGTCAGGCCTGCATCCCACCATCCCTCCCGATCATAAGCACCCTCAGTCCGTGCAATCCCACTTGTGTCTCAGCCTGATCTGGCCGGAGCCAGAGTACGCCTACCCAGCTTCCACAGTACGCCTACTTAGCTTCTAGCATTGGCCTACTTAATATAACCAAATTAGCTGCACATACTCCAAAACATAATTATATCTTAGGAGTTAGCTTTTTAAAGCTATAGCTACCTTATTATTTATATAAAGTAAATATTTTAAGTATTTTACTTTAAATATATAATTATTATATATTAATTAATATTTTTTAAGTTATTTTTATTTATTTATTAAAGTAAATTATTTAATTTATAAAATATAAAGATAAATAAGCTTTATTATTAATATTATTAATAATTATTAAGTAAATAAAAACCTTACTTAGCATTAATAAATAAATATTAATAAGTTAAGTTATATAACACCTTTTTTAATTAAAAAAGGGTAATAAAGATTTATTTATAAAATAATAAAATTCTTTTCTTAAGAATATTTAAATCCTTTACTTTTTATTCTTTTTTTATTTTTATTTTTTTTTATATTTTTTATTTTTTATTTTAATTTTATAAGTATATAAACTTAGTTATATTAATTTATATTAATTATTTAAAGATTAAAAAATGTAAAATAATAATATAAGCTTTTAAAAATTAAAAATTATAATTATAAAATTAAAAAGTTAAAAGATAATATTATATTTAAATTTTTATTTAAAAAATATTATATTTAATAAATTAATTAAGGATTTTAATATAAGATTATTAACATTATTAAATTAAAGTTATATAAATATTAAAAGTAATAATTATAATATATATAAATTATAATTAAAGTAATATTATAATTTTTAATTTATTTAATAAATAACTTTAAAGAAAAGATAAATTAATTATTTAATTACCTTTTAAGGTTAATAAATTTAAATTTATACCCTTTTTAAAAATTAATAAAAATTAATTAAAATATTAAAGTTTAAGAAATTAACTTAATTAATTAATTCCTTAAATAATAAATTAATTAAAAGTAATAATATTTTTTAATTTAAAGTATTTTATAATAATAATAACCTTTTTATTATTATAGCTTTATTAAGCTTACTTAAATACTTTAAGGTTTTTATTAAAGAAATAAAGGTTAATTTTATTAAAAAAAGATTTAATTAATAAAATATAACTTACTTTTAAATTATAATTTTTTATTTATTTATAAAATAAAAACTAAAATTAAGAAAGTAATTTACTTAATTTAATAAGATTTTAAGAATAATATTATAAAATATATTAATTTTAAGCTTTAAATATTATTAAATATAAATATTATATAAAATTAAAAATAAATTAAAAGGTAATATTATTAAGTTATGCTTTTTTACTTTTTAATAATTATTAAAATAAAAATTATAAAGTATGATGGGCTTGGGCTATTGCCCAAGCCATAATGCATGCTTATGCCGGGCCTATATTGCACCCAATCCTTTTATATAATAAGGCATATACTTAAAAGATAGATTTAAAGTTAAGCCCTTTTAAGGCTTAACTTACTTTTTAAATATTATAATTTATAACTCCTTTTAAGTACCTTTTAGTAAATACTTAAGGTTAACTTATAATATTAAATTATAATCTTTAAATTATATTAAAAAGGATATTTATATTATAAAGGTAAATAACCTTATATTTAAGATATTAATCTTTTTATAAAATGCATAGCTAAGAATTCTTTAACTTATTTTAATATTAAGTTATAAAAATGCTTAAAAAGCGCCTTAGCCTTCTTAATTATTTATAGCAATGCTTATTAATATTAATAGCAATACTATTATATTTCTTCTTATAATAATACTTTATTAATTTATAAAGCTTAAAGTATATATAAATCCTTTTAACTTACTCTTAATTTAATGCAAGCCGCTCTTAATTAAGCCCTTATTTAATAATAGCTAAGATAGCTTTTTAACTTAAAAGATTATAATATAATATAAGCTATAAATTAATATAAACTTTATTAAGGGTTTTTAAAAATATTAAATTTTCTTATAAAATTAGCTATTTATTAAGGTATAATTATATATTATAATATTTTATAAGCAAGGTAGGCCTTAAAATAGCTTTAATATAAATAAGTTCTTTAAATACTTAAAGCATTATTATAAAAATCTATATTAATAAGTAGCTATTTTAATTAAGCTTAAGATATTTTAAATATGGAATTGCAATAACTTTATTTAATTTTATATTTAATTTAAATAGCTAATAATATAAGTTAAAGGCTTTAAGTAATTAAATAAAGTAAAGTTAAACTACTTTTATAATTAGCTTTTTTTATAACTTTATAATAAAGTTATTAAGGCATTAATTTTATATATAAATTATAATAAGGTAATAAATATATATTATTAAATTACTTATAAGTTAAAGGCATAAAACCTTAAGCATTAATAATATATAAGCTTAACTTTATATTTTTTAAAGCTCTTAGCTTAAGGGTAATAAATAATAAGTTAGGATATAGTAATAATAAATATAATTATAATAAATATAATAAGGAATTAAAATGCTAAGAATAAAGGGCTATAAGGGTATTAAGGCGCCTTTTTTTCTTAATTAGCTAGCAATTAAGCTAAGGTACCTTAAATTTCTAGATTTAAAAGAAAGGCTTAATAAGGATGCAAGGCATGCTTATATTATAATTAATAAGAATACTTTATAATAAATTATAAACTTCTTTTTATAATTATATTAACCTAAATTTAAATTATAAAGCTGGTTATACTTTATAAAAAAGATTTTATTAGCCTTAAAAGAAAAAATTAACTTTTAAGCAAAGTTTTATTTAAAAATATAAACCCTTTTTATAAGCTTAATTTATATAAAAATAATATTAATAAATATAAAATAAATTAAATAAACCTTCTTTTTTAATTTTTATTATTATAAATTATAAATATATTATTATTACTTAAGTAAATAATAAGTATAGCTATTATGCCGTTATAAGTAAGCAATAAATATAAAAGTAAAATTAAAGTTAATAGCTTTATTTATCTTAAGAAACTTAAAAATAATTATTAACTTATTATAAAGTTAATATATTATATATATAATATGGCTTTCCTTAAATATTAATATATAATAAGCCCTTATTTTAGCTTATATAATTTTAAATATAGCTTATCCCCTTTTATTAAGCTTATCTTAGTTATGCTATTATAACGTTTTATTAAACTTAGCTTATAGCTATATAATAATTAATATAACTTAAGGAATAATTATAAAGAAAGAAAGTTAATAAAATATAAGTAATTTAGCTTAATTAATTTTTAAAGCGGCTATAAGGGCGTAAATAAATTGCTTATCTTATAATAAAATAATGAATATTACCTTAATAAGAATAAACTTAAGTAAAGTTATATAAATCCTTTAAGCTATAACTTCTTAAAAAAGAGATAATAATAATGCAAAATGGTATAAGGCTAAGCTCTTGCTAAAAAAAGTGCAGAACTTTATTAACCTTTTTAATAAAGAATAAGCTTTTACCTTTTTATTGCATTAAGGTTAATTTAATTATTATATTTATTTATTATTAATAAAGAATAAATTTATATTAATATTATTATAAGGCTTATTATATAATATACCTTAAAATTAATTAACATGGTTTATTAAGAAGTAGCGGATATTAGGAAGTAGCGGATTTTTGCAACTTTAGCTAACTTTAGCTAGCCATAGCACCTACCTAATGTAAAAAGATTTATGAGATTTAGCATTAATTAGTGCTAATTATAATTAAACCCTTATTTTTAATTAATTTTATTAATTTAAAGGCGTTAATATAATTGCAATGCTAATTTAAACTAGTTAACTTTTAATGAAAAATATGCATTTAGCATTATTTAGTGCTAATTACACCCTTAAAAAGTTAATTCGCTATAAATTACTAATACCTATATATTTACATTAATTAATGCTAATTAAGCTAAATTTGCTATAATATAATTAAAATTTAATTAAATAAACCTTTTTTTATCTTTTTTATAAGTTTTTATATTATGCTTAGTTTTATTATAATTACTATATTATCTTTTAATTAATTCATTATAAATTAACTCCTTAGCATTATTATTAATTTTATTAGCTAGCCATTTCCCCTTTTATTTTTCTTAAATAAAAGCATAGAATTCCTTAATAATAAGTGCTTTTTTAAGCTATATTTAAGTTCTTTTAGCCCTTTAGCATTTTATAAGCATTATATTAGCCTCCTAAAGTATATAAATCTGCTTGCTTATTATAATAAATAAATATGCTATTACTTATGCACTCTTTATTAATTAATTAACAACGTTTATAATTAATATAAGGGAGCTCCCTTAATAGGCAAAGATCCTACCCTTAATAAAACTTAATTACTAAATAATTTATTAAGCATTTAATAGTATTTAAAACTCCTATTTTTAAGGAAAAATAAGGAGAGATTATATAAGAGTTTATAGGTAAATATTAAGCTTAGAAATTATAAAATTAAAATCCTAAGGGGAAATTCCAGCTTCTTTAAATATAAACTTAATATTTTTTACCATAAAAGTCTTATTATAAGCTACCTTAAATGCAAAAAAAAACTTAAACTTAATAATATAATTAATAAAGGCTTAAATAAAAAGGTTAATTTAGTTGCTATATATATGCTTTAAAGATAAATATAACGTAATATTTAATGGCTAAAGTAAGTAAAATAAATATAGCAATATGCTAATAATAATAATCTTATTATCCTTGTAATATTAATTAAACTTAACTAATATATAACTTTTATAATTATTTATAATTAATATTTAATAATTAGCATTTTTCTTTAATTTAATATACTTATTAAAGTACTAAATTTATTTTAAATTAATTTTATTATCTATTTATTTATTAAGAATAGGCTTAATAACCTAGTTATTTAAAAAACCTAACTTTATTACTTAATTAATAAAATAATAGGCGCTTTAAATAATTATAAATAATAAGATCCATAACCTACTTATATTAATATATTTAATAATAAGTATCTATTCCTAATTATTAAGCTAAATTAATTTAACCTTTTTATATTTATTAATGTATATAATAATTATTAATGCAATAATTATGCTTATTATAAAGCTAATTTTATTAAAGTTATAAAGATTATTATTAATAATTTAATACTTAGCTATTATATTGCAAAGTAATTTAAATTAATTCCTAATAATCTTTAAATCTTTATAAAGAGCCCTTTAATAATTATAAGAATAATTAAACTTAATCTTAAGGCTAAGTTATTAATTTATAAAGTATTAAGCTTAATGCTTATTAATAAGTTTAGCATTTTATAATATTAATAAAAAGTTAGCTATATCCTTTATATTAAAAAGTTATAGAGAAAGTCTTTAAATATCTTAATTAATAATATATTAAATAAATATTTGCTTTTTAATTTAGTTAAGTTTATGCTTATTAATGCATAATTCTTTATATAAGCATTATTAATTTATTTTACGGCATAATATAATTTTAGGGATATTAAAAATGCTGGCAGCTTAAGTTATAAGCATAGGTTTTATATTATTTTTCTTTAAGTTTTTAATTACTTATATAGCTAAAAGGATTTTATCTTCTTTAAATAAAGAATATATTAATGGTTATTAATTTTTAATATATTAAATATTTAATTAAATGGATTAAAGCAAGATTAATGCAAAAAACTAAGACGCGATTTACATTAAAATAAGTTCCCCTTATTAAAAGTTAATTATTTTAAACTTAAATGTAATTATATTAATTTCTTTAAATTAATTAAATTAATTAAAAATAAGGTTATTAAAATAATTAGCATTAATTAATGCTAAATTTAATTAAATTATTTGTATTAAGTGGGTGTTATGGCTGGTTAAAGTTAGCTAAAGTTGTAAAAATTCGCTACTTCTTAATATTTATTACTTCTTAATAAACTACGTTATTTAAGTTATAAAAATAAGTTATAAAACTTTATAATAAGGGTTAAATAAGGGCTAGCCTTTTGCTTATAATAGCCTTAATTTTCTTAATATATAAAGTAAATAAAAGGTAGCGGTTTTATATAAACTACCATGCCTTTAATAAAATAATTTAATAAAATTATTACCTTTTCCTCCTTATTAAGGAAATATTACGTTCCTTTTTTAATGCTTAATAATTTATAAAGCTAAATATTTATATAGCCTTTTATTAAATATAAATAATAAAAAGGTAAAAGCACTTAATAATATTTTAAACTTAATTTAAGTTATTTAAATAGCTAATTTATTCCTTTAATTTATTTAATGCACCCATTATATTTTAGCAATATATTAACTTAATCTTAATTAATATTTTAAAAAATTATATAATAATATATTTAAATAATATATTAATATTTTCCTTAAGCTTAAGGAGAGATTATATAAAGAAAATATAAAAGGTTTTATATTATTTATAAAATGCTAAATTAAATTTAAATTAAAATAAGTATAAGTTTATAATAAAAAAGGTAAAGTA